CTTTGGCATCAATGACTGCTTGCAGCCTGGGTTGAATTTAGTTAATTAACTTTTGTGCAAACTCAAGAGTTAAGTTTGACCAAATTTCGGTTATTTCATGAATAGTATAATCGCGTTTTTGATGCTTGTCAACAGTGCTGCCAGAAACTCCCAAGCAGAAATAGCTGGATTTAAAAAAAAAAGTTGCTAGAAATTGCTTAAAATTCGTCGAAAATAGCCAAAAAATTGCTAGATCAGTTAAATTTAACTTTTAAACTGATTATGCATATATGTAAATGATCGCTTGTCGCTATCGCCGTGTGTTTTGCAATGTATAGGCATAGTGCCGCTTCTTGTTCCTCCGTTTTCGTGGACTTTTGAAAGAAGGGCAACTTATTTTTTTGTGTAACAGCGCCAATCGCAGCCACTTGTTTTTTTGATGCGACGTGGTGTCGGATCTCGAAAAGTGTCGCGACTATTGTGGATTTGCAATACCCACAATAGGCCCTGTTAATATCCGTGCAGTGCTTGCGAATTCACACCTTAAACTCGTCGTCGCGCAGCCATTCATCCCGAAAATGTGGTTTGTAAATTTTTGGCATCTTTACCCGACACAACACAGCACAAAAGTGTTCATATGATTGAACCACTGAGTTAAAAAATAATTCCGATATAGGTATAAAAAAGTTTAAAATGATGAAGAAAAATAACAAAATGTTTATAAAGTTGCAAAAAAAATATGAAAAGTTGATAGATTTGTTGCTAATAGCAAATCGATAAAAAAAAAATTGCAAATTTTTTTTAAAAGTGGCTAGATCTAGCAACTAAATAGCTAAACTGGCAGCCCTGCTTGTCAATAGTCCTTTGCCGTTTCATGAAAGCCCAAACATTTTCAATGACATTAATGTCAGGAATTTGCGGGGACCATGGAAGAACAGTCTGATCCAAGTCCTTTATAAACTTGGTAGGCATCCAGCCTTTGGGACACGGAGCATTGTCATGTTGCAGGTTCCAGTTGTTAGTTGGAAAGAGTCTATTTCCTGATGCCAAAGCATTGTAATTTAAAATATTTGCATATCCTGACTGCTTTAATTTTGTTTTTTGTTTGTTGGCGACCTTTGATGTATGTTTAATTTTTGAAGTGCCATTAATGGTTTGTAGCCATTCACCAAATCCAAAGTAGCTTAGACATGCCCAAAACATTACTGAGCCACATCCAATTCTGTTAAGTGGCTGAACAGCTTTCTTCTTTTGCAGTTGATGCAGTTGCATAAATTGTTTTCCCAACGAACCTCGAAATTGAAAAGAAGCCTCTTCTGTCCATAAAAAATTGTGCCAAAACTCTATGGCTTTTTTTATGTATTCCAAAGCAAATGACAGCGTTTGGCTTGGTTCGCTTTCTTTTCGCTCAACATATGTGTTGATATTATTTTCTTTCAATCTGCGGCTCACTGTGCTATCGCTAACGTTCTTTCCAATTAGATTTTTTGACTTTAACAGGACTTATGGAAGGATTTTCCATGTTTGATCTAATTATTCGTCTGCATTCCCTTTGATTTAGGGCAGGCTTACGAACGGATCGACTTAAATATACCAAATTTCGATAATTTTTGTTTTTTTTACAAAATTGTAAACAGTTTTTCGGGAAATTTGTACAGATAGTTTCTTTGTTTTCGCAACTTCTTATAACATTTTTTTTAATAGTTCGTGCCTTTAAACTTCAGATCGACAAACGAGTACGTTAGCGCATGATACAATAACATAAACGTTCTGGTTTTGGTCAGTGCGTGTTCGTTTTTTGAAGGAAAAGGTTGTCTGCGGACGACAGAATTAACCCTTGAGCTAAATGACTTTTTGCAATGTGTGACGCAAACTTGTCGATGGCGTAAAATTTTTAAAGGCACCGAAATGTTTGGAAAAAAGAGTGCTGTGGGAGGAATCGCTGGGATGCAAACTTGGGGACTCATGAAACCGTCTGCCCAGTTCGTTTAAAAAATAAAACAATTAGAACTTATATTTGTACACTACATTGCCGATACATTTAAAATAACAAAGAATGTAAAAGAAACTTTAAAAATCGCAGCCGAAAATGTTAGTATAAGTTTGGACATAATAAAGTTTTATTTTAAGATTAGAAAGCCTAATTTCAAATTCCAAATTATTAAAAATTAAATTATAAAAAAAAATTAAACTCCTCTTATTATGAAAGGCAAAAAAAAACCCATGAACCATTTAAGGGCTAATCCACACATTCTTTTGTCGCTCTGCTCGCACTTACTAAACAGTTCCCATTTCACTCGCACTCATTGTTATAATAGTAGAGGTACCTTATGTTATTGTATCATGCGCTAGCGTAAAAACTTGAATCTTTCCAGTGTGACCAAAATTTCGTAGAGTCGTATTGTCAATCAGCTGGGTTTGTTCACGAGCAGTTAAAATTCAAATATCGTATTTGCGGGAAAGAGCCTTTAAAAGATATTATCAACTACCTTGGCAAGACAAGTATGCCGCTGTACAAAGAAATTAAAAAACAAAACACTTTAAATTTAACCGTTGTTTTTTTTAATTTATTGATAATTATTTGCTAAATTAAAGTTTATAGCTGCACCTTTATTGTGCTTTTTCGTACATTTTTGACCTAAGACACACTTTGCTCTGACGAGAGGCACCCCAGATAGTATTAATGTTATTTTTTCCTCATATGTAAACATCTCCAATCGATTTTGCGTGTTTTTTTATTTTTTCCCTCCACTTTTTAAAATGTTCAGTAAGAAGCGCAGGCCAAAAGATTAAATTTTAAATTAAATTTTTTAATCTCTTCGCTAGGGTTCACCCAATGTTAATTTCCGCAGTTGCCAATCTGCTATGAAATTTTCTGGTATTTTTTTCGTCGATCTGAGAACCGAGGTGAAAAAAAGGACTGACGAAAAGTGAACGCCAGCTGTTTGACTCTCGCTCTCTCTCTTGACTGGCGTACAATTTTCGTCGATCTGAGTACTAGGCTTAGAAATCAAGAAGAAGCTCAGAAGTTGCAACGCCTTGTTTTCGCGCGCGCATATGTGATCTGGACCTCGGAATGGAATACTGTTGTCTTTTCGAACTAAAAAATTTGGAGGACCCCGATGACTACAGCTACTATTTTCATGATCTTCGAAAAGAACCACACCATCTTGATAAGTTGCACAGCTGTGCTGGAGATATTATGATGTGGGGGCTATTTCCTATTATGGCACCTGTGAGCTTTAATTTGCTCTGACCACCACACTTCCAAACTATTTTTGGATGGATTTATCAACATGCCCGTATACATACGTCCGGATTGTTAAATCGTATAAAGCGAGTCAAAACGTGGAGTTATTTCGGTGAAAAATCAGTAATTTTTAAAAAAAAATTATTGGCGATATGGATAGTCTCAGCTCAATTTTGTTTTTTGCATGTGATTGGGCAACATTGAAACAATATGTGTGATTTTTTTCTTCCAAAAATATTTAAAAATTGACTGAGATACAGCAATCTCCGGCGGCGCCTCGAAGAAAAGATGTTTTGCGGTGTACACGATAACCGGTCACAGAATTATCTGAAATGAAAAAATCCAATTGCATTAGTTAAAGAACAAGATTCCTCAGGTAACGCTGTCGAGTTTTCATTTTTTTTCGATTTTTTAGGGCACTTGAAAGTCAAAAACACCGATTTTCGCCTAAAACGTTATTTGTTGCTCTAAAAATAATAAATTAAAAAAAACAACTGGACAGCGTTACCTGAAGAATTTAGTTGAGAACAACTGCAAAAATTCAAAACGATCCGTCCGATAGATTTTGCAGGATCGTGTACACCGACTTTGAAAAGGGTAACTTTTCAGGAGAGCGTTTTAAAGTTTTGAAAACCCATACAAAACAAGCTAACTTACCTACGTTCAACTGTCCATAAGTTAGGGATCGATCTAAAACTTTAACACAATATTCTCAAAATGTTGTGCATACAGAAAAAAAAAACCCAAAAAAAATATTTAAATACTGTTCTATTTTACGAAGACCTTGTCTCCTACCTGTCTTGTTTTATGTAATCTTTGAAACTGAATATTCTGTGCGTTTAGGACTTAATCCCTATGTAATTTCTGTGCTAAGGTCGATGAATGGATTATGTCAGTAGGTCGCTTTTTTGATTTTTGTTACTGAGTGGATGGTTCTATTGTGTCACATAGCTGCGAGAAGTATCAGTTCAACTTTGTCTTCAATATTTCTTTCGAGGTACCATGAAACGATTGGCGCGCTATCCAGCTTACTTTAAAAGGACTTAATTGTTTCGGATTTATTCGATTATCATTATCGCAATATATTGTCTTTGGTCGCCGGTAAAGCCTAGTATCCAGATCGACGAAAACCAGTCATGAGAGAGAGCGAGAGGCAAACAGCTGGCGTTCACTTTTCGTCATGCTTTTTTTCACGTCGGTCCCCTGATCGACGAAAAAAATACCAGAAAATTCCATAGCGTTGCCAGTCTGCGGAAATGAACTTTGGGTGAAAAGAATACAAAATTTAATCTTTTGGCGTGCGCTTCTCACTGAACAATATAAGAAATGGAGGGAAAAACTCACAAAAGTCGATTGCAGGTGTTTACATGTGAGGACAAAATAACATTAATACTATCTGGGGTGCCTCTTGTCAGATCAAAATGTTTTTTAGGTCCAGAATGTACGAAAAAAAACAATAAAAGTGCAACTATGAACTTTAAATTAGCAAATAATTATCAGTAAATTAAAAAAACAACTGTTAAATTTAAATTGTATTGTTTTTTAATATCTTTGAACAGCGGCAGACTTGTCTTGCCAAGGTACAAACAGCTGGCTGGTATTTAATAATATCTTTTAAAGGCTCCTTTCCGCAAATACGATATTTGAATTTTAACTGCTTGTCAACAACCCCAGCTGATTGACAGTACGACCGTAGCACGCTTAAATCTGATGAACTCTCGAAACTTTGGTCACACTGGAAAGATTAAAGTTTTTACGCTGGGGTAATCGTTTGTCGATCTGGATACTAGGCTTAAAAGTTAACAAGTTTTGTCTACGCAAGTGAGAAAGTATTTCTTGTTGGTCGAAAACATGTATTTCGCTGTATATTTCGCCTGTGTAGGGGTTTCTCCGAGAATCTGTTTCGGTGTCGATCATATTTTGCCTTTTGCCAGATATTACAATTTGCGACAACCTCATTCGCCATATCAGTAATTCAGGGAAAAAAATAGTCCTGCGTGTTTCCGGGAATGTCTCTATTGATTTGTGCTGAATAAATGCCAGTACTGGTAGTTCGCATAAAATGGCATTAACTAAGTCTTTCTTGAACAGTGGACTGTTGATATTTTTGACTGTAAAAAAATATATTTGTCGAGGATTCACTGGAATTGTCCTCCGCTTCAGGCTGCTCTTCGTGGTCCGAACGGAAACGTTTTCTGGCGCGTGGCATGATCTTTGCAGTTTGGCTCTTCAAATACGAATGTTCTCTAGAACTGCTTGCGTCCCTCTTTGCAAGCGTCGCTCTCTACTTTATTCCACTCTCGCTCTCACATTCCAATACACACACCATTAAGAACTTTCCGTTATCCCTTTTTGATGCGGACACCTGCATCCTTCTATCTCCCTCACACCAGTGCACAGACTAACGTTGACAACAGAATCAGTTGCCTCCATTGGGAGAGCCGAAGAAACAGCACAGAAGCACATGAAAACGAAGGAGAAGCGACGTCTTCGAGTGTTTCCAACTTTAAAACATTACAAAATATTATCTCCCAATAATAAATAGAACTAGATGTACTTTGAAGACAATGCAAAATAACTATATTTTCATTAATCAGAAGCCTTATGAGCTATTAGTCTATGAACAGCAAATTAAACTTAGCATTTTTCCTTAATAATATTGATCTTTTAAATTCAAAAGTTATACAGAATTCTTAGTTCTTAAATAGCAGATCGAACTTACATTTCCTCATACTTAAACAAAGGACAATACAATCAATTCAAACAATATTAATTTTCCATTTTCATTTGCTTCTCCAATAAGCAATCACATTTTCACATCGTCAATCACTATCTCTAACAACTTTCATTTTACTTAACAATTTAAGTCTTTCTCGACCAACCGGCCATCACATAGCACACAGTTGTCATTTACATTTTCTTATTTCATAAATCATCGCAGCCATTACCGGCTCGATCAACATCATCTTCATCCATGACCGTCTCGTTATGCTCTGTGGTAATCCCCTTCTCAGGCATTCTTCGTAAAAATTCGTGGGAATATTTGTAAGTTCGATTGCCCTTTAACGCTTTTAATTTATATCGATCACCTGGTAATAGCTCAGCAACTAAAAATGGGCCTTTAAACTTGGGGTCTAGTTTTGTCCGATGTCGCTCCTCATTCTTGAGTAAGACATGATCCCCAACTTTATGCTTAACAATAGTGGCTTTATTCCGATCGAATCTCAATTTGTCATATTTGGAATTTTGTTCCATATTGTGCTTAGCTATATTTCTGATTAGATTTACATCAGCTACACTCTCGTTTTCAGCAACGGGTACAAGACCAAATGGTCTAGCTTCTTTTCCAATTAGTAACTCTATTGGACTAACTTTCGTTACCCTATTGGGAGTGCAATTAAGAGCCAGTTGAATTTCGTACAAAGCGTCCTGCCAAGATCCCTTGCCTGTTTCAACAGCAGTTAGCATAGATTTAAGAGCACTCATCACTCGTTCGACCTGGCCATTGGCCCGGCTGGCGACAGTTGCGATAAAATCTAAATCTATCTTTTGTGCTGAGCAAAAGTCACGAAACACAGTACTCGCAAAGCTACGTCCCTGATCAGCTATCAAACGGGAAGGAACCCCAAAAATCGATATTAAAGACCTCACTGACTTGATGCAGCTTTCAGAGTCTAGTCTGGTGTGTGAAACAAATGGACGAACTTAGAAAATGCATCTATTTGGACGATTATATATTCCTTTTGGTAATTTTTACCACTAAACTTCCCTGTAATATCAATATGAACTGTATGAAACGGGACGCTCACTTTCGGAATGGGATGCAATTCAGCTTTTACCTTGCCAGTCGGAGGTTTAGATAACCTACAGGTAATGCAATTGTCAACGAATTTACGGACATACTTGGACATTTTGTCAAACCAATATTACTCGTACATTTTTGCGAGGGTATTTTCCCAACCGGGATGCATAATTGCCTCCTGCACGTTGTTAACAGCAGACCACCTAAAGGGCTTTGGAATAATAGGAAGACAGTGAGTTTTCCCATGTCTTTGAATTTTCCTATATAGAGTACCACCACGTAACTCAAAGGTTTTTGCTATATCCTCAGGAAGTTCTCTATTGCGGAACTTGGACACGATGGATGATGTTTCGTCATCTCTCTGCTGCTCTGCCAGCAACCAGTTGTCGGTAATCTCTGTCAAGTTTATACGCTTTTCGGTTATACCTTTTAAGTTTTTACGATCTTCCAACACTGGGTTTCGAGAGAGAAAGTCTACATGAGCCATTCGATCACCTGGTCTATACTCAATATCGAACTTAAAAACCTGCATATACGACCACCACCTTTGCACTCTAGGAGTTAACTTGGCTTTAGTTTTGGAAGCTTTGAGCGAATTACAATCCGTAAATACCGTAAATTGACGACCATGCAAGTAATGACGGAAATACTTCATGGAGACATATACTGCGAGCGTTTCCAACTCGTATGAGTGGTAGCGTGATTCGGCGGGGGAAGTCCGTTTGCTGAAATACTCGATCACTCGAGGCTTGTTCTCGATCCTATGCAATAAAATGGCCCCGTAACCATCAGCACTGGCGTCGGTGTGAAGCTCAATCGGAAAAAGTGGGTCGAATATAGTGAGTACGGGTTCATTGGTCAAGATAGAAATTACTCTTTGTCGCACTTGCTCATGCTCCGGGTTCCACTCAAACGATATGCTTTTGGAAGTTAATGCATACAGAGGTTTCAACAATTGTGAGAACTGAGGGACAAATTGTCTAAAATAAGAAACAAGACCAATGAACTATCTCAGTTGGGTCACAGACTGTGGGGGCGGCAGATCAGTCAATGCTTTTATTTTCCTTGGGTTGGGTCTTATTTCACCTGCCTTAACTTCAAACCCCAAATATTCAACACACGATTTAAGAAATGAGCATTTGGTGATATTAAAGGAAAATCCGGCTTTAGTTAGGGTTTGTAAAACTACATCAAGTCTTTCTAAAGCTTCGTCTTTGGTACCTGCTACTACCATAACGTCGTCCATGTAAACTACGACATACGAATGAACAAGATCACCTAAAGCACAATTAATAGCTCGTTGAAATACGGAAGGGGCATTCTTTAACCCAAATGGCATGGTAACAAACTCATACTGTCCGTCCGGAGTAACGAACGCTGTTCGTTCGATCGAATTCGGATGAATTGGGATTTGGTGGAATCCGCTTGCCATATCTATGCAGGTGAAAAACTTAGCACCGCTTAGTCTACCTATCTGGTCCGAAATAAGTGGCAACGGATACTTATCGGAAATAGTGTTCGAATTCAGTTCCCTATAATCAACGCAGAGACGGTCAGTTCCATTTTTCTACTTAACAAGAAGCATCGGGTTTGCAAAGGGGGAACAACTTGGTCTTAGAATGTTTGCATCCAACAGCTGTTTAATAGACATTCGCACTTGTTCTTTTTCTTCCACGCTCAATCTATAAGGTCGTCTCTGGACTGTCTTGTTTGGATCAATCAGTCGAATCTCTAGCTGCCCCGTAGTTACACGACTTTGTGGAATACCGTTTATAAACGAACCAGAATAATTTTGAAGCATTGATATTAGCCTATCCTTATCTAAACCACTTAGATCGGTATCAACATTGGCCAAATCGGGAACACAATCTGAAGTTAAGACAGGCAATACAGTTTTTTCATTAAACATTGAAAGTGAATTTGATGTAATTGTTACACCGATTCCCTGGCTCAAAATTTCACGCCCAATCAAAGCATCGTATTTGATATAACTATCTTGAACTGCATGGAAAAGAACTTCGAAGGAATGATCACAAATCAAAACTTAGCCAATATCTGTAGGGTGCTACAAACCGTATTACTACCAATACCCCTTAAAATTACTACGTTATTTATTCTAGGCCCAGACAGCTTTAGAGAGACGGCTTCCTTGATAAGCGAGCACTCGGCTCCTGAGTCAAAACAAAATTGGAACGACTCACCAAATTGTTGAAAAGTTCCAAGGGGCTCTAGTACGGTACACAGGTTGACATCTTTAACATAATCCCTCTTGACCGGCATTGAGCGCTCCTCACGATCCGGGCACACAGTAGCCACATGCCCTTCCTTTCCTTCTATTCCTCCATTATGTCCAGAACGTTGAGTAGCTAGTTGGCTATGTCGCGGTTGCACACCAGACGAACGACACTCCGCCTTCTTGTGACCCTCTTTTCCGCATTTGTGACATTTGATATTGGAGAAGGGTCTTGTTTTCTTATTAGTCAGGGCCGACAAGACGTCACCAGTACCGCGGCTCGGTCCAGCATCAAAAGAAAAGGCTTTAAACTCCTGTTGCAACTCGTTCCGAGAATTGACTTCTGTAGTAAAAGCCAAGCGTCGCAGTCGCTTGTCCAATCCAGCCACGTGCGCCAAAGCAACAGAAACGGCAATTTGCTCTACCGTCAGGGACTTCCACCTGGACACCAGGGATGTTACAATTCTGCTTCCATACAGCGACATAGATTCTCCCTCTGTTGGGCGACCATTTAGCAGATTTAACACAGTTGCAGCCAAGGTCTCCGTTCCGGCGAAATTCTGCAAAAACAGTTCTCTGAACTGCGTCCATGTGATCCCAAAGTAGACCGTTTGTGCAAGCCAATGAGACGCGCTTCCCTGCAAAGACCGACTGAGAGCCATCACGAGAGCGCTGCCTTCTAGACTGTTTTCGGAAAGAATGTAATCCACCGTAGCACTCCATGATACTGCATCCGCGCTTGCACGATCAGGATTAAAGTTCGGCAATATAATGGCAACTGCGTCATTCGGGGCTTGCTGTATTGCTTTTATGAGTTCCGAGAAAGTACGATTTTGTGATTCCAAAAGCAGTTTCGGATTATTTTCACTTTCGATTTGAGGCCTGGGCGATCCCACTTCTGATGTCGAGGATTCACTGGAATCGTCCTCCGCTTCAGGCTGCTCTTCGTGGTCCGAACGGAAACGTTTTCTGGCGCGTGGCATGATCTTTGAAGTTTGGCTCTTCAAATACGAATGTTCTCTAAAACTGCTTGCGTCCCTTTTTGCAAGCGTCGCTCTCTACTTTATTCCACTCTCGCTCTCACATTCCAATACACACACCATTGAGAACTTTCCGTTATCCCTTTTTGATGCGGACACCTGCATCCTTCTATCTCGCTCACACCAGTGCACAGACTAACGTTGACAACAGAATCAGTTGCCTCCATTCGGAGAGCCGAAGAAACAGCACAGAAGCACATGAAAACGAAGGAGAAGCGAAAGACAAATCAAAGCTAACAGTCGTTATAATTTGAATTGTCCAACCAATCCACGACATATTGATATATTTAAATATAAATGAACGAGACCAAAAATCCTAAAAAACCTTACAAAATTAAACATTTTTGAATAATAAAATAACTTAAACAAGAAAGGAAAGCTAACTTCGGGCGGGTTGATATACCCTTGCAGAATATTCTGTGAATTATATCCTCCAAAATTATGCATTCTTAATACTCATAAAAAATCACAAATTCCCAACTTTAAAAAGTCCAAATTTATGGCACTTCCAACCGTTCAGTTATATGCCAGCTACAGGATATAGTCAGCCGATCCTTATGAAACTTGGTAGGTCGGATTGATTGGCCAATTATAAAACCCATAGAATCTTTACAAACACCAAAGTTATGGCATTTCCGATCGTTCAGTTACATACAGTATGTCAATAAAGTGTTTTGACAATGGAAAAAAATGACATATTTCAAGTTTTTATACGATAAAAAGTAAGTTTGCAGTGTTTTTTTATTTTTTTACAATTTTATTATGATTATGTTGGTATCTTAGAGAAAATTAATGAACAAAAAAACTAATTTCTTTAGTTAACTTTCTTAAAAATAAATAAAAACAAATAACATTCAGTTTTCATACTGTCAAGAAAGTGTTTTGACAAAAATGTAAAGTGTTCTTATTCTCTAAAGAGTAGCATGTTAATATTTTTTATGGTCACCTTTGGCAGCGCAAACGTCCTCCAATCGCGATTTCATCGAATATATGAGTTTTTCCATGTCCAATTTCTCCGGATGGCAGTTTTTCTCCACTATGGCAGTTTTGAGATCATTTTTGTTTTTGGGGCTTCGTTTTGCCACTTTCTTTTTTAAATATGCCCAATATTTTCGATTGGGTTTAAGTCTGGACTCTGGCTGGTGTGTCCAGCACTTTTCCGCAATTGTATAGGTACCACATAATCACCGTATTCGCCTTATGCTTAGGGTCATTATCTTGATAAATTTGAATTTCGGACGGAGATGAGCGAAAATTATTAAGGCAGGTGGCCAAAAACCATCAAGTTTCTCTTAGATCTATTGCAATCGATCACAAGGAGACTATTAATGTCGATGTTTCCCTCGAAACCGTCCGAAAACTGCTTAAACGGAACGATTATACATCCCGCGTAGCCCATAAGAAGCCGTTGCTCTCGAAAGTTAACATCGAAAAGAGACTTTTGTTTGCCAAAATGCACAAAGAGAAGCCAATGGATTTTTGGAATAATGTCTTATTCTGTGACGAAACGAATATGATGTTATACTACAATGAAGGAATATCCCGAGTGTGGCGAAAGCCTTTGACACCCTTACAGACTCAAAATAATATTCCGACAGTTAAGTTTGGAAAACTGTCCATTATGGTGTGGGGCTGCATTTTGAGCAAAGGGATGGCTTTCATCGAAAATATAATGGATGTTAAGCAATATTTGGACATTTTAACGACAAATCTTTGGTGCAGTGCAAAGAAATTTGTATTTTTTTATGGAAACCAACCAAAATTCAAATTTATCAAGATAATGACCCTAAGCATAAGGCGAATACGGTGATTATGTGGTACCTATACAATTGCGGAAAAGTGCTGGACACACCAGCCAGAGTCCAGACTTAAACCCAATCGAAAATATTGGGCATATTTAAAAAGAAAGTGGCAAAACGAAGCCCCAAAAACAAAAATGATCTCAAAACTGCCATAGTGGAGAAAAACTGCCATCCGGAGAAATTGGACATGGAAAAACTCATATATTCGATGAAATCGCGATTGGAGGACGTTTGCGCTGCCAAAGGTGACCATAAAATATATTAACATGCTACTCTTTAGAGAATAAGAACACTTTACATTTTTGTCAAAACACTTTCTTGACAGTATGAAAACTGAATGTTATTTGTTTTTATTTATTTTTAAGAAAGTTAACTAAAGAAATTAGTTTTTTTGTTCATTAATTTTCTCTAAGATACCAACATAATCATAATAAAATTGTAAAAAAATAAAAAAACACTGCAAACTTACTTTTTATCGTATAAAAACTTGAAATATGTCATTTTTTCCCATTGTCAAAACACTTTATTGACAAACTGTATGTATATGGCAGCTATTTTACTTATATACTACCTGCAATAGAAAGACAACTTTTGGGAAAATATCAAATATCTTTAAAACTGAGGGACAGACGGACATGGCTAGATCGACTCTCCTGGTGATGCCGATCAAGAATATATATACTATATTATATATATATATTGGGTCAGAAATAATCTCCTTCACTGCCTTGCAAATTTTTGACTGAAATTATAATACCCTTTGCAAGGGTTTAAAAATCTTATTACTAACAGCGGTTCGGAAGAAATTCAATTTTGTAAAATTAGGAAACACAAGCCATGTTCCGAGACGGCATAATTTGACCATCACCGTATAACAAAACAAATCAAAAGGCTGCAAATGATGGTCTTTATTTAATTAAATTAATATTGTCTCTTTATTTCCATGTGTTTATTCCTTTCTTGTATATTTATCGATTAAAATTATAGTCAAGTTATCTTCACATTATTAATAGTTATCGTAAGTTCTAGTCAAGTTCACATTCATTCATTATTCTTAATTCTAATTTATACAACGTACTCACTAATTCGTATCACATTACAGGATGTTTACACTAAATACAATATGTACATACTTAACAACTATGTTTACAAGGCAAAATATATGAAACACATTCTTGGAGAAACAGGCGTTCCTTCATACGCAGGCGAAATATTAAAAGTTTTCAACCGTAAAGAAATACTTTCTCACTTGCGTAGACAAATTTTCAAAGTTTTCAATTGTCCAACCGATCGCTTTCAGAACCATTGCAGAAGTGCCATACGCGATCTTACAACTTATGAACTTCTATCGGCGGCCAAAGAAAGTATATTGCGGTAATAAGCAGTCTATTAAATTCGAAACAATAAAGTCCCTACCTCGAATGGAAAAGTACAAAGATTTCACGGTACACACGAAAATTGCACGGCGCTTAAAAATCGAAAGAAATATTGAAGACAAAGTTGAACTAGATATGTGACATAATAGAACAATCCACTCAGTATTAATAAAATACCTATTGACATAATCCATTAATCGATTATATACCCTAGCATAGAAATTCCTAAACGCACAGAATTATCATTTACAAAGATTAAATAAAACAAGACTACACAGAAATTTCCAGGTAGCAAACAAGGTCGTCGTAAAATCGAATACAAAATTAGAAAGCAAACTTTCACAATGGTACACTGAAGAAACAGTATAAGCAGACTTGGGGTCCACAGTCTAAATAAAAGGGAGGGTTGTCCATAAGCACAATTTAAGGTAATTGAAATAAATCTTTTTTTTCTTTTTATTTTTGCCACATTAGGATTCTGATAGCCACAGTGAATATTAATCATAGACACTGTAAAAGCATTAATTTGTTAATCATAGAGAACTTTAAATTCACTCAAAAAAAAATTGAATCAGAAAACATGCAGAAAAAACAGGAAAGGAAGCAAACTTCGGCAAGCCGAAATTATAACAAAACGACGATTTGTATGCCTATAAAATTATAAAAACAATGCCGATTTTGCGATGCATTTAGCCATCGTTTCTATGGCAGCTATATGATATTGTTGTCCGAATTTGACAACACTAAACCGAAATTCTGATATAGTAAATAATTACTAAATCTCAAAGCAATAGTTTGATAAATACAAAACAGCAAAATACAATTTTTTTCCATTTAATTTTTTTTGATTTTTCGATTTTCTTATGGGAGCTAAAAAAAAAGTACGACCTTAATTTAATTAAAACTGAAATGCCATAGTATTTAAATACCAAAAAAAAAAAAATGTAAAACAACATTTTATTTTATTTTTTTTAATTTTTTTTCCGGTTGTTTCTTTAGCCTAGTATCCAGATCGACAAACGATTACGCTAGCGTAAAAACTTTAATCTTTCTAGTGTGACCAAAGCTTCGAGAGTTCATCAGATTTAAACGTGCTACGGTCGTACTGTCAATCAGCTGGGTTTGTTGACAAGCAGTTAAAATTCAAATATCGTATTTGCGGGAAAGAGCCTTTAAATGATATTATCAAATACCTTGGCAAGACAAGTCTGCCGGTGTACAAAGATATTAAAAAACAATACAATTTAAATTTAACAATTGTTTTTTTTAATTTACTGATAATTATTTGCTAATTTAAAGTTCATAGCTGCACTTTTATTGTGTTTTTTCGTACATTCTGGACCTAAAAAACATTTTGCTCTGACAAGAGGCACCCCAGAAGTATTAATGTTATTTTGTCCTCACATGTAAACACCTGCAATCGACTTTTGTGAGTTTTTTGAGTTTTTCCCTCCATTTCTTATAATGTTCAGTGAAAAGCGCACGCCAAAAGATTAAATTTTTAAATTTTTTCACTAGGGTTCACCCAAAGTTCATTTCCGCAGACAGATCTGTGGACCGACGTTTAAAAAGGCCCGACGAAAAGTGAACGCCAGCTTTTTGCTTTTCGCTCTCTCTCATGACTGGCGTACGGTTTTCGTCGATCTGAATACTAGGCTTATATGATATAATCGCCCTGCAATATAAAGACAACTTTTGGAAGTTTAAAGCAGATAGCTTTAAAACTGAGGGACTAGTTTGCGTACAAACGGACAGACGGACATGGCTAGATCGACTCTCCTGGTGATGCTAATCAAGAATATATATACTTTATAGGGTCGGAAATGTCTCCTTCACTGCGTTGCAAACTTTTGACTGAAATTACCCTCTGCAAAGGGTGAAAAAAGAAAATATAATTAGAAATAATTAACCAAAAATTATTAAGATTTATTTTACCGATCTCAAGCTATTAAGAGTATATGCAATTTTTTAAACAAAGTGCCATAAATCTGGCTGGACTTATTCACGCTTAGGCAGGCTTTTTGGAGGCTGATGGTTGTTCTCAATTGTTTGGCACCGTTATATTACTTATAACAGAACAACAAGCACGACAGGATGAGCTGAAAAAAACATGTAGGTGGGATCTTTCAACGTATGTATATGCAATTCTTGCGGACTTAGGCAGGCTGAAGGTTGTTTCCAAGAGTTTGGTAGCGTTATATTATTTTTAACAGAACAACACTCTTTTTGTTTTCCGGAGGCGATGAAGTACGACAGGATGGGCTTTACATTGAGGAATCCATGAACCTCACAGAAATTAGATTATTAATCAGCTAACGTCTCCG